TCATTCCTCACAGGCTCTTACCTGGCAAGGGACCCTCCAATTTTTACTCCAGAAGAAGCTCAGGTTTTTAATATTTTCAGGTGAAATGGACATGGAATGATGAGGGAGTCATCAATTCTGCTGTCTGGGATGGGAAATCCTCTAGTGTCACTCTCTATCTACGAACCCTGGACCTACTCCTATGCCCACCCTCATCAACACAACTTTCCATCTACTCTCTAACATCAATCCCTCCTCTACATCCTGCTGGATTTGTCTGTCACTGGCTTGAACCCTCATCATAACCACTCAATTCCAACCTATTGGACCATCTAACTAAACTCTAGTAATTCGCAGCTCCTGGCTGAACCTCCTGCCCATGGCCCCAACTAGAATCTGGGCTACACCAAGGAGCCCCACCTTCTTGAGACCTTTTGACCCTTCTTGCTCAACCACCATCTCCTTACTTATCCCCCTCCCCTGGGTAGTTATCTTCCATATCTTACCCAGGCAATTGCTCCAAGAACACGAGAACAGGTTTCTGCCCAAGCCAGAGCCGACCGACCAGGACTCCCGAGGACCAGCCCTTCACCCTGGGGACCCGGTCCTCCTTAAGAACCTACATCCACAAGCCTTGCAGCCTAGGTGGACGGGACCTCACACTATAATCCTTACAACCCCCACCGCAGCTGTCGTGGCACCATATCTCCAGGCTCAAGAGGACCCCGGAGCAGCATAACTTCTATAAATGTGAGGTGTTGGGCCCCACTAAGGTCCACCTTAGTCACCTTCCCCCTCCTCCTTCTCCTCCCGGCCCTGAGCAACTGCTTACGACCAGCAGAACCCAGACAGGTGTAATCAAGATGTCAACACCTATGGGGGTTGCCGCTGGAGAGACTGTGTCATACATGATGACTATAATAAGGTCAAGGGTGGCCCCTCTTCCTGCCCCCATGGATATGCTACCAGACCAGTAATCTGGTAACTGGGGGATGGGTCACTTGGAACTGTACCCAAAACCACACTGCAGCCAGTCTCACCAAGGCTAGCCCGGGTACCTTCTTTTGGTGCAACAGCACCTTAAGCAACTGCATAAACTCCTCTGACCCCGGGCCTTGCTTCATAGTCACAGTAGTTCCCCAACTAACCTTGTATGGAGAGTTGGAGCTTGCCTGGCTGCTCCCTTCATCCGGGCCCACCAGGCCGCCTTCCTCCCTGTCATGTTTAGGGATGAGATTGCTGCCTTGGTAGGCCTCACCGGGGGGCCCTCGGGAACAGTCTGGTCACGGCTCAGGACTTTAATGACAAGATCCAGTTAGCACTGGAGTCTACTACCACCTCTTTTAGCCTCCCTACAGCTGAAAGTGGCATCAGTAGCCCAGGTAACCTTACAGAACCAGCGCGCTTCAGACCTTCTGACTGCAGAAAGAGGAGGAACCTGCATATTCCTTCAGGAAGAATGCTGCTACTATGTCAACGAGTCCAGTAGTGGAGCAAAACGTAAACGTACAGACCCTGACTAAGCTGAGTGAAGAACTACATGCAAGACACTCCCAGGACAACTCTCCTTTCGGCTGGTTCCAAAGCCCCTTAGCTACCTGGGTCCTACCCATGATAGGGCCCCTGATTCTCATCTGTCTTTTTTCTCCTAGCCCCCTGGCCTCCTCAATTCATTAGCTCCCGGATCACGGAGATATCACTGGTGACTGTGAATCAGCTCCTGCTCCATCCCTACACTTGGCTCCCCTCTGACCTGCTTCTGCCTGACCCTGGCCTTTAAACACCGCCCCTCCCCCCCTCGTTGTCCCTGGTCAGCTGGAAGCAGTCAGAATGAATCGGCATCCCCTATCACCAAAAGGCCGGGATATTAGGTCAGAGAGAGCCCAGGATCAGATACATGCAGATGTGTAATGGGATAATGGACCCTCCCTGGAATTTCTAACAGATCAGCGTGCCAGACACAGATACCAGCTTCTCCCTGGAATCCACACGACCCCCACACAGATACTGACTCCTTCCTGAATACCCTGCTGACCCCCTGCGGTGGAAACTTCCTCAGCTGAATACCTCAGCTCATGTATCCGCCCCTCACCCAACAGCAGTATAAAAAAAGCGCCCCCCTCCCTGTTGGCGAGAATCCAAGTGCCCTGTCTTTGGGGTTCATGGGTGGCCCGGGGACGCAGAATAAAACCTTTCCTTTTCTCCTCTTTAACCGTTTGGTTCTCTTTGTTCTCTATGCCACTTCCTGAGCCACCTAACCTAACACTCTGTATGTCTGTAAATAAATACATACTTCAAGAAGATCTCTATACTGTTTAGCTTGATGGCACTCAAATAATAAATAGTCATGTTATTTTGCATTTTACTAGCTCAATATTCCAATAACATGACAATAATTTAAAAATATTTATTTACTTTTTAAGATACACCCAGATTTGTTGCATTGTTTAATTCACAAACTATAATAATACTGGAAAATTGGTGGTAAAGGTATGTTCTCATGTACAGGAAGGTAAACTGAATCATTAATAATTGAGGAAAAAATGCCCATGTTCCCACTGATAATTAGTTGCAAGTTTATTTTGATAGCACATATAATCATAGTGCCATATATTTATATGGCATTACAGCTTAAACATCACTTACACACAAACTATCTCAATAAATGCTCTCAACTATTGAGACTAATAGTCATCCTTGCATTTACAGATGTGAAAATCTTGGGTCAAATAATAGGTAAATGCAACACAGTTCTTAAATGGGGTACTTAGGTACAGAATCCAGATTTCACTAACCATCAGGAATTGTTTTGTCCAAATTCACATTAACTCTTAGGGTAACTATACAATTTTCAGAAGTGTAAAATGGTATTTTAGCCACTCTTCTGTTTGTCATACCAATTAAAGCAAAGGTCATTTATATGTTTTGTTCAAAAATGCCAACATGTAGATAAATACTTTTTGATACATTTGATGAAAAGGTCCTTTTCAAAGAGGACATACAGATGGCCAAGAGACACAATAAAAATTTCTCAGCCCCAGCCAGGTGTGGGGTGGAGGGAGTCAATGGTGGGAAAGAAGGGGACATCTGTAATACTTTCAACAATAAAGATACATTTTTAATAAATAAACAGTGCTGTAACAATTGTACTGTTCTGTATTAGTCTTGATCATCAAATTAAATAAATGTGTTCTCAATTCTTATTCTTCTATTGCTCTTGGTTATCCAAATATATTGAAGCCAAATTTTATGTTCTGAGGCTGCATCTACACAATATCAAAACTAAGGACTAATTAACTAGAATTGAAATGAAAGCCAGGATGTAAATGGGGAGTAAAAATGTTATCTTATTCTATCACCACTTATCCCTCCTATTCCCTCTTCTCCCTACCCTCACCTCCCTTCCCCTCTTGTAATCACCATGCTGTTGTCTAGGCCTATGAGGTTTTTTGTTTTTTGTTTTTGTTTGCCTATTCTTAATCCCTTCACCTTTTTCACCAAGCTTCCCAAGCCCCATCCTCTCTGGCAGCTGTCAGTGTGTTCTCTGTGTTTCCTGCACTTGAGTGACTTGTTCCTTTACCAGGTTAGGGAAATTTTCTGGCATTATTTCTTCAAACAGATTCTGTATTACTTTCTCAGATTTTGCTCCTTCTGATACCCTTACAATGCACATGTTATTACATTTCATGTTGTTCCAAATATTTTTTAGACTCTCCTCCTGTGTTTTTTGTCCTTTCTTGATATATCTCCTCCTCAGATGGACCTCAGTTGGTAAGTTTTTCATTACTGTTTAAATTTCTCAATTTGTTATTGTAATTAATTTTTATTTATTCTTGATTCAGTTTCAGTAGGTTTTATATTATTAGGAATTTATCCATTTATTTGATTCTGTCCAATTAATTGGTATATAATTGCTCAAAATTGTAACTTATGATTTTTTCCCTCTTTGGTATCAATTGTAATGTATCCCTTCATTTTCTGAGTTTGTTTATGAGTCTTATTTTTCTCATTCTTTGTTAGTCTAAGAATGTCAATTTTGTTGTTCCTTTTGAAAAGTCATCTATCTTCATAGATTTCTTTCTACTCAGTTTCTATTCTCTAATTTATATGTTCTAATCTTTATTATTATATTGTTTTACAAATATTTGTCTTTGTTTTTTTTTATTTTTTGATGTCAGTAGGATTTTACTTAGATTTTTTCTTTTATTTAAAAATTTTAATTGATATTTTGAGAAAAGAAGGAGAGAGAGAGAGAGAGAGAGAGAGAGAGAGAGAGAGAAACATTGATGGGAGAGAGAAGCATCAATCAGTAGCCTCCTGCATGCAGCCTGACCAGAGATCAAACCTGCAACCCGTGCATGTGCCCTAACTGGGAATTGAACTCACCAATGCTTGGTTTATGGGGCAACTCTCTAACCAACCAAACAACACTGGCCAGAGCAAGATATTTCTTATTTTTTAAACGTAGTTGTGTATTTCTCTGTGTTCCTCTTATTTCCTTTTTGCTGTTTTACATGTTTTGTTATGTTGCATGTTTATTTTCACTTCTTCAAGATGTATTTTCATTTTCTTTTTTACTTATTTTTGACCTAGTGGTTGTAAGAGCATGCTGTTTAGTTTCCATGCATTTATTACTTACCCAATTGCCTTTAGTTACTGATTTTTATTCCATTTTGATTGGAAAATACATTTGGAATGGTTTTTGTCCTCTTTAGTTTGTTAAGACACTTTTATAATTTAGCATCCTATATAATAAACGGCTAATATGCAAACTGACTGAACAGTGGAATGACCAGTCACTATGATGCGCACTGACCACCTGGGGGCAAACACTAAATGCAGGAACTGCCCCCTGGTGGTCAGTGCACTCCCACAAGGGAAGCGTCACTCAGCCAGAAGCCCTTGAGTTGGGCTCACCGTTGGCGAGTGCAGTGGCAGTGGCAGGAGCCTCTCCCACCTCCAGGGCAGTGCTAAGGATGTCTGACTGATGGCTTGGATCATTTAAGTCACTTACTTTTAAATTGATTATTGGTAGGTAATTATTGACATTTTATTTTTTATTACTATGTTCCTCTTTATTTTCACAATTTTTCTCCTTAAATAAGCCCTTTAACATTTCTTATAATTCTGGTTTGGTGATAATAATATTTTTAGCTTTTTCTTGTCTGTGAAGCTCTTAATTTCTCCTTCAATTTTAAATGATAGCCTTGTTAGGTAAAGTAGTCTCAGTTGTAGGTCATTGCTTTTAATCACATTGAACAGTTTGTACCAATCCATTCTAGCGTAAAATGCTTCTATTGAAAAAAATAGGTGACAGTCTCTTGAGAGCTCCCTTGTAGATTACTAACTGTATATTTCTTGATACTTTGAAATTCTCTCTTTGTCTTTAACATTTACCATTTTAATTATGATGTGTCTTGGTCTGAAACTCTTTGGATTCATCATATTTGGGACTCTCTCTTCTTGATGGATATCTGAGTCTTTTTCCTGCACCATTTATTGAAGAGACTGTCTTTACTGCATTGTGATCTCTTGCCTCCTTTGACTAATATTAATTGACCATAAAGGCATGAGTTTATTTCTGGACTTTTTGTTTGGTTCCATGGGTCTATATGCCTGTTCTTATGCCAGGACAATGGCCTTTTAGTATAGTTTGATATTTGGTATTGTGATACTTTCAACTTTGTTCTTCTTTCTCAAAATTGCTGTGACTATCCAGGGTCTTTTTTGATTCCATAAAATTTTTTGAAATATTTTTCCTACATCTATGAAATATGCCATTGGTATTTTAATAGGGATTGCATTGAATCTATAGATCGCTTTGAGTAGTATGGAGATTTTAATGATGATAAATCTTTCAATTCATAAACAGGATATATGCTTCCACTTATTTGTATCTATTTTGAATTTTTTTCAATGGTCTATAGTTTTCTGAGTACAGTTTTTTTTTCCTCCTTAGTTAAATTTATTCTTTGGTGCCTTATTTTTTGTTTTGGGGCTTGTTTTATTAGTTTCTTTTTCTGATAGTTATTACTGGTTCATAGAAATGCCACTGATTTCTGTATATTGATTTTGTTTCCTGCAACTTTGCAAAATTCATTTATTAGATGTGGGTATTTTTGTGTAATTTTTAGGGTTTTTATATAAAACTAGGGGCCCGGTGCACAAAAATTTGTGCACTGCGGGGGGGAGGGGGAGAGGGGGGGCCCTCAGCCCGGCCTGTGCCCTCTCGCAGTCTGGGACCCCTCAGGAGATAACGACCTGCTGGCTTATGCCTGCTCC